CACTTTTGGTCAGTCAAACCTCTTTGTATATTTCTACTATTTTCAGACAATTCTCTCAAGCAACCTAATAGACTCCATTTCGTCTCCAACCTGAGCGAGCATAGAAATACTTTTGAATTGTCTTTGCCAATTTGGCAGCTCGGGGCGAACGAAGTCTTAAATGAGTTGAACACTTCACAAAGTTTCATAAAGTTAGCTCATGTGCTCAAAAACTTGGCTAGCTATTGAGTTTCTTAATTAGAATAAAGCTTGTTATTTTAATGGAATACAGTACGGAGTCATAGCACAAAAAACAGTAGAACTAATTAATATATCATATAAATAAGAAACATAAATATGTGATATATGACATAAATATATATATAACAGTTTACGTAACATTAGTATGGTAATAGAAAACGCGGCAGATAGCAGTAGCACTGTTGTTTTACATACGTCTGTTAATGTGCTGTTTAGCTAACATATACTGTAATGTGTAATAGCTATTATATCTTGTAGCAGTAACTGCTGTTAAGTCTTTACACTTACAATTAGAATTTATGCTATGCCTTAACATAAATTTAAATAGCCATCATTTGCTGCTTCTATAAAAAACAACATGGCCATTAACATACTTCCATAAGGAGATCTTGATTGACTCTATTTATGCACTGCCATGTAACGAACTACTTATGTTAAATTTGACAACTAACATCATATGCAGCTCAAGAAACACTTTTATGTAGCGTGTAAACATTTGTGTGTGCAAACACTTCACGCTGCTAACATCGCTGCTCAGTCAGCTAAGGCAACTACTTTTCTTGTAATACATTGCGTATGCGCAATATATGGTCGAAAAACGCCGTGAAGTCTAGACAAATGTTTATTGATGATGATGGTTAGATGTTTGTTGGTTAAGTTACAGTTTCTTCCCTCTCTTCCTCCCGCTCTCTCTTTATATATATGTATGCACTAGAGTCGTAAAGCACATGTCAAAATGACTAATAGCTCATCAAAGTTTCATTTCAAGTATTTTGTTCCCATCGAGCCATTTTTCCAGCTTTGCCTGCGCACAACTTTCGACAGGCATTTACGAAGAAAAACGTTTTTAAGGCCAATTGACTAGCTGATGGGTGTGTGGGTGTGTGTGTGTGTAGGGTTCTGCCATTTATCGCAGTTTTTCCATTTCTAGTTTTAGCTTTTAGCACCCGCTCAAATTGGAATTGGTGGCACATGCAATAATTTGATTTTGCAAACAAAACAAACAACCCAGAAACATATTTGCGAGTGTAAACAAAATGTTGACGTTTACGTTTAGGTTTACGTTTTCTTTTGTTTTCTGCTTTATTTTTTATGTTTTTTTTTTTCTCCAGCTTGGTTCGGTTTTCAATTTCCTGGCCTCCAAAACACACTTTTCTCGTGGGCGTAATGAGACGCTTAACGCTGCCTAGGCGCATGTTTTATCGATAAATCGTGGGCTACACACGATATACATATATGTATATCTATATATATATTTACGATATAGTATACATATGTATGACAAACAACAAATTTTATAACTGACAGGCGCCGCATATTCCATACCATTCCATTCCATTCCATTCCATTCATTCGGGTTTGTATAGCCAAGAATACTCTGTAGGTATAGAGCTGAAGTGCGGGTATATAAGTACGAAACTGTAAGAGCCAGAGGTTGAGCTAGAGCTAGAGTTGGGACTAGAGGTCAAGCTAAAGCTAGAGCTTACAATTAATTTAATATTTATTTAATACGCTAATATTTTATATGAAGTTTGTATTTTGTTTTCTATATTTTATAGGTCTGTACTAAATCTTTAATTACAAAAATTTAATGTAAATGTATATGTATATATATTTTATCTGCATGATAGATGAAGTAGAATCGAAGAGATTGTATATGCTATATTTCTAAATAATAAATACCCAATAAATTATATATTTCTTTTAACTTCTTTTTAGAGCATCTACCAATCTATCATACCCTCATTCACATCGACTCAATTTTCTTTTGTTTGGTATCGAAAAACCGTTTTCTTTTTTTCTCTTTTTTTTTTTTGTTTAGCTCTGACACGAAACCCTGTTCAGAACAGGAGTCATATCTATGCTGTTGTGTGGGCGAGGGAGGAGGGGGAGGGGAGAGAGGGGTACGGCGTTTATGAGTATTGACAGGAAATTGGGACCGGCAGACAGACAGACATTAGTTTTGTCAACTCGGCTACAAACCACAAACTTTTGATTGCCGTTGACGCGCCGCGTGTCGAGTCGCCAAAATAAAAAGAGACAGAAGAAGGAGGCGAAGAGGAGATAACAACAATAGAAAAGGGCAAAGGCTGAACAAAAAGTTGTCGTGTTATTAACAAATATAGTGCCATGATATTGTATGGCATCAATATATACACACATACACATAACATATTCCCTTTCAGATGGGCTTGCGTGTGCCTCGCCTCAGAGTTTCTAAGTCCGAAGTAAAGCTAAAAATAATTTGAATATTATTGCTGCGAATGACAAAAACTTGATTTATTTATTTAACTGGCAAACGGGTTTTGGATTTCGGCCTAGAGAACATTCTGGTTAGAGGTGTTATAGAGAAGGTGCTAGGATTTAATGGGCACATGGAAACGCTTACCGATAAAAAGAAGGATTAATGTGAAGCTAAGAATAAATTTGATTTATATAAGGAATAAAAAACATAAAAATGTCATGTGTGTGGATATACATATGTGATAGGAAATAGAATGCTATCATATCATGGAATTTTAGGAATAGAATAAAATACTATACTTTAAAATATATAGATAAAATCGTATATAAAATACTTATTAATTTTTAAAAAGAAACTTTTTTCAATTAAATTAAATATCATATAAAAATAAATCAACTAATATTACAAATGGATCGATGTAATATATTAGAGCTATTACGAGTACAGCTGACAGTTGTGTTTGTCAGTATGTGAACGCATAGAAAGAAGGGCTGTTATTTAATTAGTGTCTCATGCATAATGCACAGTGCAAAGTGAAATAGAAACAGAGAGTGAGGCAGAGGAAGAGAGAGTGAGGTAGAGGTGGAGAAGGAAATAGAGGCAAACTGAGAAAGCCACACACGATGCAGGCAAATTTACGGCTCAGGTTGTAGCTGTAAATGAGCTAAGCTAAGGCTAAAAGTGAAACGAATTATAAAATAATTGGTCGAGCGATAGACAAATGCCCTTTAAAAAATAAAATTGTCAGACAAAGGAAATTAAAAATGATATGCTATAGAAATAACATAGAAACAACAGTAAGTGGAGCAGTTGGGCGAAGTGTTTGGCATAGGATATATTGAGTTCCTATTGAGTATCATATATAGAAATACATATTTATATAAAATTACAAGACTCAAGGTTTTGTAGCTCAAGTGAAGAAAAATATAGATAGACGGATTCTCAGACAGACAGACTAAGGGAAGTATGAATATGCCGAAAACAATTCATTTTGTGGTACTGTAAAAGATAAACGAATTTTCTTTTTTAATATAATAATAATTTAATGTAAAACATTTTAATTTTTGTATACATACATATAACTGTATAGTTATGGAAAAAACATATTTGAATAGCTTTCTAATATATGTAAATAAAATAAATAAAATAATATTTATGTTGGAATATTTTAATATAATTAATAATA